CAGCCCTCTGAGAGTGTGCCCAAGGGCAGGCACCCAGGATGTCTCAGGGAAGGAAAGGGAGGGAAAGAAGGGGTCTCCAAGGAGCCCCGCCAGCCGGAGACCATGTTAAGTGTCTGCCACAGGCACCCAACCCAGGAAACAGGCTCTTGGTCCCGGACACCAGTTCCTCAGTGAGGAGAAGAGGAAGTCCTTAGCTCTCTGGCCACATCCCTAAGTGGAGAGCAAACCTCCTGGACCCCTGGCAGGGTGAGGAGGTGACCAGAGTGGGAAACTCAAAGCTACAGAAGAAAAGGGCCAGGGGCTGTGAGCTGATCGGCCGAGGACTCTGGTTCTGAGGCCTGGATGCTCTGCGCTCGCTCGTGGGAAAGGACAGCGAGGTGCAGACGTCTCCAGGGCAGAAACAGAAGCAGAGAGAGGGGAAGGCAGCGCAGAAAGGACGGAGGAGAAGAGCCCAGCAGGAGGGAGCACCCGCTCCCCGTGGGCAGTGGTGGAGAGGCAGGCTCTGACAGCTCCCAGCAGGGGCTCTCCGAGGCCCCAGCTAGGGGGAATGAAGCCCAAGGAAATGCCCAGCTGCTGGCGGGGAGGAGCCAGCTGTGAAGAAGAACAGGAAGAGCCCGCAGCAGAAACTGGGGAGACGGAGCCTGACATAGGCGGGGGTGCTGGAAAAGAAGGGCGCCTGGACCAGCGCACCCAGGCCAGGGAGGCCCAGAGGACCGCGCCAGGCACAGCGGGGCCGTCTGAAAGCAGGAAGTGGCCAGGAGCCCGTTTGGCCAGCGGGAACCTGCTGAGCTTGAAAACAAGGAAAAGAAACTGAAATTTAAAGATTTGTCCTTGCCTGAGCCGCTCCTCCACCCGGGCATCCGGGCGGCCTCCACCACCCCAAGGTCCTGACGCTTAAGCCACCATTTTGCGCTCCCAGGTGGCGGGAATTGCTTCATTCCGTGAGTTTGTGGCTGCAAGCATCCGACAGTTGTGTCGAGCCAAACTCCTGAGAGGGGGAAGGAAGGGCACGCTGATGTGCTCCCACAAACTGGGCTGGGGGGCAATGCTTGTTTTGGGGGAAAGAAAGCTGGGGTGGCTCACAGCTGCTGTTTGCTGTGCTAAGCCTCCTGTCCTGGAGCCACCCGCTGAGTGTGTGTGGACACTCATGGAAGTGCTCCTCGCTCTCACGGAAGTGCTCCTCTCACTCATGGAAATGCTCCTCTCACTCACGGAAGGGCTCCTCTCTCATGGAAGTGCTCCTCTCTCATGGAAGTGCTCCTCTCACT